GAAAGAGTGCTCTCTGCTGGGCCACCATGTGCACATTCTGTCCCTTTATTTCTTTTCCTTCTTGTTCATCTTCATCTCTGTGTAAAAGTGTTGGTTAGGTCCTTGGGGTTCCTCATCCTACTTACTTAACGCAGAGGGTCTTCATCAGGAGGAAAAACCTGGAGGTGATGGGGTGAGTCTAAGTCCTGCGGCCCCAGGACTAGCCTGGCTTCACACAGCAGCCGGTTCATCGGGGCTTACCTGCTGCTGTGCCATAGGACTTGGCCACTCCATCTCCCTCCATGCCTCTGGGTCTCTATGTCCTGCCTATGCTGTGCCTGCCAGCCACTTGACTTCTAGGCCTCAAGTTCCATTCCCCTGAGAGAGGGTCTCGTGTTTTTATTCAGCCACTTGTCCCTGATGGGGAGCTTTGTCCCATCAGACCTCCTCATTGATCATAGTTAAGCCTGTATATTGCCTGTTCTGGGGTCATGTTCAAAAACATGTTTTTGCCACCAGCATCCGTTTCCCTTCTTGTAACAGCGCCCCGATTTTCCTCGGAGAAATCGTGCCTCCCTCCTCCTCCTTACACGTGGTCCAAATAGCTGGACCCAACATCGTCAGTGGCCACTGTGATTTGGAGACCCCAATCTGAGCCAATTAGGTGCTGAAACTGTTGAAAAAGGAGCATTCCCTATACCCCCAGACTTAGAGGTGGAGCGATGTGAGCCTGGAGCTACAAGCAGCCATATTGTCACCACCCAGGAGTTGTAAGCTTGTCACCACGAGGGACAACCTGCCTGTGGGTGCAGCCAGCACAAAGGAGGAAGGAGCCAAAGAGGTAAAGAGAGATCAGGTCTTTGTGGGTCGTTCACCACTTCTGGGCCAACTGAGCCTACACCTGTGTAAGCCGATAAGGTTCTCTATTTCACTTCAGCCAGGCTGAGAAGGTTTCCATCACCTAAAACTGAAAACATCCTAATTGGTCCAGGTCAGATGGCCACCTTGGTGCAATCAGCAGTAGCTAATGTGGCAGGTCAAATGTCACCTGCGGAGCAGAAGGTGATCGAGGAAGGTCAGCCCTGGAGATGGGAGCTGTGGGTGAGGGAGGCAGTTTGAAACTCAGCCTCTCCAATATAAATAAGGGCATGCAAGGCAAGGTTAAAAGTTTTGAGTTCATAAATCATGGGGCTATTGTTGTAAGACAAAAAGGACCCCAACACACATAAAACAGTAGCCTTGAAAAGCACGTGAGTCAATATGTGAAGCACTCAGGAGCCTTGGCCCATTGGCAGCTTTCCTGGGTCACCGTGGCTGTGCATTTGAACTAGAGAAGCTGCTGATGAGGACAGCTTCCAAGATCCATTCATAAAAACTGCATGAAGTTCTGTGTGTGCAGTTCAGGTACCTGATACCAAATTGTATACATTTTAAAAGACAATTTCCCCACCTTTTTCTAAGACTACCTGTCCCATAGTCTCCATACTAGAAACCAGCTACATTTGAGGAATCAAAGCAAAATCAAGCAAATAAAGCAGATATTTGGTTAGATGTTCTAGGCAAGTTTACATTTCACATTAAAACACTTGCATTTATTTAAGTTTAATTTATGACTTTCAAGTTGTTTTATAAATATGGTATTCCAACTAGAAAGATAGTATCACTTCTTTAAATATGGATATCAAATGAGTGCTTAAGGCAAAAATACTTTTTTTATTAGTACCTAGAAGTCTAGACTATGTGACTTTTTTTTTTTTTTACACCTACAGCACCTGATCTTCTTAGGTGTGACTATTTTAAATATAAAAGAAAAAACTAAATTTTGGATAGTTACAGACTATCAAAACTTTTTATTTTAAGTGTAAGAAATTGAAGAACTTAGGTTTATTCAGAAAATAAACTTAAAGATTTAGGGATTTGTGATATATAGTTTATTATAGGTTTAGAAAGCTAAAGATCATCGATTCTTTTAGGAGAAAAATGAAGAAGGAAATTAGTATGACGTGGTTTATTTCCATTCTGTTTTAGATGAGAAATAGCAATATGGGCAAAGCCATAAACTGGATAGAAGGGGAGCGATGGGGCTGTTGGGATGGGACAGAGGGGAGGCAGGGAGGTAGCAGTGTGGTAAAGGAGGATCTGTAAAGAAAATATACCCAATACTACCGATACAACATTATAGTTAAATGCGGAGATTCTAGAAGCAGACCCACCATTTACTAGTTTTTGAACCACAGGCAAGTTACTACCCTCTGCCTCAGTTTTTTCGCCTGAAAAATGGGTCTGATAATGATAACTTGCAAGCTGTGAGAAATAATGTGAGCTAATCAATTTAAAGAACCTAGAACAGTGTCTGGCATATAGTAAGTTTTATATGTGTTTATTATTATTAACGAGGTTGATTGATTGAGAGTGGAGAGATTTAGTACTAGGATAGTACTCATTACTTATTTTCGGGTCAGT